AATATAATCCATAATTATTTTTCAAGAAGAAATGGTGATTTTTTTGGACTGCAGATTTGGTCGAGGGAGCCAGTTTGGACTTGAAATGAGGTATGTTGTTGAAGTATTCAGGAAAAAAGAAAGCTTGAGAGAGTTATACTTGGAAATTAACAACACAGATAACAAAGCAATGGAACTATTGTTCAATGGGTTTAAACATCCACAATACACAATAGAGATATTGGAGTTAAGTGACTATTTACTTTCAGTTTGATCTGCATAAGTGTCTTTTGGCTGTTAATATTTTAGAAATATATCTAGAGAGTCAATTCAGTTGCCATACACGGTCCTATTCTCTTCAGTTCCTATAAAATACATAGCATACTTGATATTCAAGAAATAATTGTAATTTTTCATATATTTTTTCTGGTGGGGCTGGGAAGGGCAACAGGTGACAGGGCAGTGGCTTAGGGAAAACTCTGTGAATGTCCTAGAGTGGCCCAACCAGAGCCCTGATTTGCACCCTAATGAGCATCTCTGGAGGGGCCTGAAAATGGCTATCCATTGGTACTTGTCATCCAACCTGATTGAGCAGGAGAGGATTTGCAAGGAAGAATGACAGAAAATCTCCCAATCCAGGTGTGCAAAGCTTGTTGCATCAAACCCAAAAAGAAAGTAATTGCTGCCAAAGATGCTTCAATGAGGTACTGAGTGAAGAGTCTGGATACTTATGCCAATGGGATATTTCAGTTTCTTTAAAAAAAATTTACAGACATTTCTAAAACAATTCTCTTTGTCATTATACAGTATAGAATATAGATTAATGAGAAAAAAAATGAATTTCAACAGTCATTTGCCTGTTTCCTCCTACCACACCAGATGTGCAGGCAGAATTTACCTGTTTTCCCCAACCTCCCAGGAGGAGCACACAGGCAGTGTTTGCCTACTGCCCCCTCCCAGCACCAGCACAAGCTGTATGCAAGCAGAATTTGCCTGCCTGTCCTCCTTGCTCTCTCCCGTAATCTGTCACTAATCACATTCCCCTCCAAGCTCCCTTGGCCGCCATTCCCAGCACTATCATTGCCACTTACCAACCAATTAGCTTGCAGCTTTTTGTACCCTGGAGCGAAACACCTGGGATAATTCATGTTACAGCAAATGGGCCAAGCTGAAGAGCAAGGGTCGGAGGCCCGGAGGTCCATTGGCCAGTGAGAATCAACGGGAAAGGGGCAGCAGAGGAGGAAAGCTGGCTGTGAATCGTCTTGGCTCATTTGCTGAAACACCATTTATCCCAGGTGTTTTGCTCCATGGTACAAACAGCTGCCAGCCAATTAGATGGCAAGTGGCAATGATGGTGCTGGGAAGGGTGGCCAAGGGGGCTAGGAGGGGAATGTGATTAGTGACAGCTTACAGAAGAGAGCAAGGAGGGCAGGCAGGCAAATGCTCCCTGCGTACAGCTTGTGCTTGTGCTAGAAGGGGGCAGCAGGCAAATGCTGCCTGCACATCTGGTGCTGGTAGGAGGAAGCAGGGNTTCCCTGGTTTTTCTGTGAGCCGCCCTGAGTCCCCTCAGGGAAAAGGGCGGCCTACAAATGCTAATAAACCACTAAACCACTAAACCACTAAACCAATCCTCTTTCTATCCTTCTATCCTTCAGAAACATCGTGTGCTAGCTGTCTGTCTGCACCTCGCATCTTGGAGTTTGGCACACCTCTTAGCAGCTGCACAGAAAGTAATTGGATCTGGATCTGGGGCAGGAAGAGGGCCTGAGCTTTCTGGATATGCTGGAGTGTCACCGCAGCTTTAGGAGTGCTGGCAGGACGGGTGAGCGGCTGAGATTGGGGGGAAGAGACTCACGGGTAGGGGGGAGTTGCAGCGTCCCCACGGTTGTATTTTAATTTCAAAATAGATCCTATGAGATTTTTTTTTAATGTCACCAACCAGTATATACTGTAAAAATACATTAATACAAAGGTTACTATTAGATACAAAAATTAAATGAAGAATACTGTTTTATTATAGATGGATAATAAAAACGAACTGTATATCAGAAAATACAGTATTTCAGCAGGACTTTTATACTTTTAAAATATGCAGCGAATGAGGATTGAATATCCTAGAGCATGACTATTGCTTATTATTGTAAAAAGAATGCTGCTAATAAGGTGAGCATGAACCAAATCTTGCCATTTCTTTTTGAAACAGGTTACTTATTAGCAAATAAATAGCAAAATGATCACTGTATTACTTATTAATAAACCAAAAACCAATTATCAAGATTAGCTAGTACCATTCAACCTTAATTATGTCAATTATCACAATTAAAAACAAAGAGTATATTAGTTGCCATTAATTTGGTAAACACTCACCACCACAATGGAAAATATAAGAGTCCAGGAATAGTAAGAGCCACTAACAGCAATCGCCAGTCTCGAATGAAGTAAGCACCTAGTGGCAGCATCATGTAACCAATTGCATAAAATATGCAGACACCTAATGTGCCATATATAATGCGGATGGATTTGCCAAGAATTTCTGCACCTGTTCAAACAAGGGACAATGAATCCACATATTTATGTAATATATAAACCAATTATTTTATGTACTATATGGGGAAAAAACTGATAAAAAAATACATTGAATTGTTGTTTCTTCTGTGAGCAGAAGAAGTAGGTACAGGTAGCATTCAACCAGAATTGAGCCCAATATGTTGCTAAGTGAGAAATTTGTTTAGTGAATTTTGGCTCATTTTACGATTTTTCTTTCCCGTTTGTATAAGTGAATCATTGCAGTTCTTAAATTAGTAACATGGTTGTTAAGTGAAATCTGATTTTCCCATTGACTTTGTCAGAAGGTCACAAAAGGGGATCACTGCAACTGGGACATTGCAACTGTCTGGGACACTGCAACTGTCATAAATGTAGTCAGTTGTCAAGCATCCAAATGTAAAAAACGTGACCATGGGGATGCTGCAACAGTTGTAAGTGTGAAAAAAATAGTCATGTCACTTTTTTTCAGTGCTGTTCTAACTTTGAACGGTCATTAAATGAATTGTTGTAAGTCGAAGACTATCTGTATGTCAACCATTCTTACTTGAAGGAATGCGGAATCAGATCTGAATTGGTTCTTTGGAGCCAGACTGAACACTCTTGCTCTACCTGTCAGTTGCTCTTTCAAGGCACAACTTTTTGGTAGTTTGCATTATAGGTACACAGAAAAACTATGTGTTTTGTGTTCAGAAGATGGTATGCAGTGACAGCAGGGTATGAGCATGTACTTCCACCATGCTGTCACTATCTTAACTAAATGCAGATTCTCTAGAACCTGCACAGCTACTGTATAAGCCCAGGAAAAGGTTATTTAAGCAGTTGCTGACAGATATAGTGATACCACCAGTGCTGGATTTGAAGCATGTTTTCCCACAGATACATGCACTTACACACTTATATAGGGACAAATAAAGAGAGGGATAAGACATTCAGAGAAATTAAAACACCCTATAGGAAGATTCAGACATGGGAATAGAGGAAGAAAGGAGACTCAGGTACACCTACAAACACAATCACAGGAAAGAGATGGAGGAGAGGAGATTGAATCACTAAGATAAAAAGCATTTTCCAATGGGAGAAGAATTCCTCCTCTCCTGCAAGATTATTGAGCCAGCTATTAAAAAAATAGTACTATTTAAATAAGGAGAAATAATCTACCATTGCTGAAAAAAATGACTGGGGAGGGTTGAGAAGCTCACCAATTGGCAAGTGTATTACAATCATCAGGGTCATTAGTGAGGATTAAAATTGCTTCTTCCAGATGACGTATGTTGTATGAATGTGGTTAATGCCCTTGCTGGAAAGATAGCGCATAGGGAAAACATCAGAAGAGTTGAAGGGTATCTCATATCAGATGCTTATTCTAGTTGTATACAACAAACATACATGTTAAATGCAAGTTTAAAAGAAGGAGGTTGGCTACCAGTTCTGCCTTTATCAGATATATTTTAAAATTATATTCTGGTTAGCAATGTTGGAAATACTGCTGTGGAGAACACAGAAAAAAATTAAAGATGCCCCTCACTGAGCTAGGGGGTCAGGTTATTGAGAATGTCTGTTTACATAAAGACAATCACATACCAAGAACAAACGCTGCCACATAATTAGATATTTGACCCATTCCAACAATAAGAAAGAGAACAGAAAACATCTCCCAGCTTGTTGAGAAGATCTGGATAAAGCTGAAGGCAGTCTGGATCCCCATTGTTATAAACAGCACATTCTTCCGACCAAATCTGCAGTGAGACAAAAATAATAATAAAAGCAAATCAGACGGGTATTAAAGAAGAGTTTATGAAAATAATGAACTAGCAGAGACTAGCTAATTAGCATCAGAGAGATGCCAACTTTCAAACATATGCTAGAGTTCAAATACATGAAGCCAGCAGTGAAAACTTATAAAATTTCAATAAAGTTTTAAAAGAAGAAAGATGATGATAAAGATTCTTTGTACAAGTGTAAACCTAATGCATACACAAAAACATGAGAAAACAAACAGATGGTTGGATTTTAGCCCCTTTAACCCCTTTCCTACCAAAGGAGTAAGAAAAGGAAAAATGACATTCCTAGTGGCAGCCTCTTCACCCTGGAAACAGGTCACACTCTGAGGTAAGGCTATTCTCCCTGCTTGATTGTTTGGAAAACAGAAGAAATACCAATATCTAGGGAGATTCTCAATCATCCATATCATGATTGTCCCAAAGGTGCTTTTTCTAAAAGGCAATTCAGCAGCTACTTTAATGAAAAGTAAAACGTTCTCAAAGAACAGAGGAAAAAAAATGGAAAAAGCACCTTTGGGACAAGAAATACTAACCTTTTCTTCAAGTCTTGTGTGAACTTTTGTGGACTGAGTTACAAAACAGTACCAGATTTTAAAGATTTTTTTAAAAAAGATTTTAACATTTTATTTTATACATACAAAAAATATTGTGAACTGCTGATGTAAAACGGCATACCAATAATTATAAATAAATAAATGTTATCTAATTAGAGATAAATATATAGTGCTGGAAAAAATGACATCCTGAAATGTGATCCTGAATGAGTTGTGCATGAAAATAATAAATACAGAGCTTATCATATATACTCTTTACCTGTCTGAGAGCTGTCCAGATATAAAGGATCCCAACAGCACACCCACGAACAATAAGGAGACAGTTAGTGGTGCTTTCCAGTCATTGTCACAAACAAGTTTCCACTGGGGAAAAAAGAGGGTTAGCATTTTAACTTGTTTTAAAATATCAGTTTTTAATTTATTATAACATTATTTTCCCAATAACCATTCCATAATCTATTACATTATTAAAAATGTTTACAATTATTTATTATTCTCATTGTTATATAAAAACAATTCTCTTAAATTCTTATCTGTTAAGTCCTTATATTATGCCTTTACAAAGTAGAAAGAGCAATTATTTAAATAGTTAAACAAATATTCATCAGAATTTTGGAGGGGACAAATCAGCCATATTGGTTATTCATACAAGGCCTTGGCTTTTAACCTCTGGTTGCTTTAAAAATGTTTAGTAGGTATACTGACCAAAATATTAGAGTAAAACAATGTTGATCGGCCCCATAAAAACTGCAACAACTACTATAGTGTGAAGTTTTTTCACTCATCTTTAGAGGCAGTTATTTAACCACAGTATTCCACTTTACCACCATCTGCCTTTTCCCCCCATTTCTCCCAACTTCAGTCAACTAACACTTTGTAAACAATGAGCAAATTCAAACTTCATTAGGCTATATATTTCAGCCTCCCAGGATTGATTGGTTTATTTGAATTTTTATTTTTATTTTGGAGAGCCACTGGTACAACTATAACTGGTTATTTTGACTACGTAAGGGGCAACATTTGGAGAAGCAAGACTGCTATTTATGTAGATGTCACACACATAAATTATATAGCCTGCTGGTCACTTTGAGTAAGTAGGTTCTACCACTACCATGCAAATGCAGACAGAGAAATGTTGCTTGGACTGAATACAGTAGTGTATAGCATATCAGCTCAGGCAAGAATTATTTTCATTCTCTAATGCTGTCCAAGTTAGGTTACTGAAGTTCACCGACCTAGGCTGCCCACCTCTTACAGTACTATATTTAATATTACTTTTTTATACACAATACACAAGCTATAGAAGATTGTAATAAAAGAAAACTTAAGCCAATGTTTTTCAAACCTTCCATTACTAACACTACTGGTGTTCTGAAGGGACTTGAAGATCTGGCTCTTTCCCTGGCATTTAGCAAGGGTGAGTGAAGCCCCCTTGGATAATCTGTTTGTATTTTTTTTTCTGTTCCTATCCAATTTCTGTCATATTTGCTATCTATTACTTTTTCTTTGGTTGTTGTAATTGTTTAAAAATGGTTTTACTTGTGAATTGCCTAGATATGATGGAAGTTAGATGGTACACAAATTTAATAAATAAACTAACCCAGTGTTTTTCAACCTTTTTTGTGCAAAGGCACACTTTTTTCATGAAAAAAATCACGAGGCACACCACCATTAGAAAATGTTTAAAAAAATTAACTCTGTGCCTATATTGACTATATATAAGGTGTTTTTCCCACGGCACACCTTACACTATATCATGGCACACTAGTGTGCCGCGGCACAGTGGTTGAAAAACACTGAACTGAACTAACCATTCAAAGGGGCTAAATTCAGAGATAACACATATACGCAGAACAGTCAGTTAGTCCATCAATCAATTTTATTGCGGTTTCAGGGCCAATTAGAACACAAGATTCATCTTCTGGGTCAGGAATTCAATAATGACAGAGAAGGAGGAGGACACTGAACAGATGAGATCATAGTATGCAATGGCTTGACACCAAAATGTGAGGTAGATTACTCAGCGTGTGATATTCACTTAGCCTAGCAAATACTTGGGGATCATATTTATAACCTCCAACCACATTCAAATGAAGTAAAATATATCCAATAATATTTGGTAAAAGAAAAAGTGAGTTTAACTTTGCTTTATTATAACCTTTTAAAAATCCCACTAAGGTGTTTTTTTATTCAAATATGATAGTTGCCCCCCTCCCCCTCCCAAAAAAACCTAGAGAAAAATACTTTGTATGTACTCACTTGCATTTTATGAAACTATGCCCTCATTTAGATTTTGGAGAAATATTTTTTGACTTGCTTACATTTGACAACATACTATATGATAATGGACTGAAACATGTTCATCTATGGCTCAGTTAATAATACTATCTACTAGAACAGGGGTGTTAAACTCAAGGCTTGGGGGCCAGATTCGTCCCATGGGGTACTTAGACCTGGCCTGTGGGGCTGCCCTGGAAACAGCGAAGGACAGGCCCGTGGTGCTTCTGCCCGGGAAAATGGGCTCCCAACATGTGTTTTTGGATGCCACAGCCTCCTGCAACTCTCTGCCAGTGAAAATGGAAATCGGGAGGGCTGCATGTGGCCCTCTCTCTCTCCGTTTTCACTGGCAGATGATTGCAGGAGGCTGTGGCAGCTGAAAATAGAGCTCGGGAGCCTTTTTTCACTGGCAGAATGCTTGGGCCACTACAGCCACGCCTGACATGAGTGACGTTGAGCTGGCAATGTCCATCCTGGCCACAGACACCCCGCCCCCCCATCCCCCCCGAGGTCAAACACAACCCTGATGTGGCCCTCAATGAAATCAAATTTGACACAGCTGTACTTGAATATTGCTTCTGCAATGAAAAATGCCTTTAAAATAAAATTCACCTTTTGGAACTGAAGATGAAACAAGTGCCCAACAACCAAATGCTCAAAAGGAAAACATCTTTACAGCAGCACAACACATATACATATTACAATAGAACAAATTCCTTTAACATAACAAGTTTCTACTTCATGTGATAATACTTATTACTTTTTATTTATTACCATTTCCTTCATTTTTCTCCCTTTTTCTCAAACGATAGAATTCTTTCTATCATGATGAATGTGAGGTGCATATTTAGCAGGGATAGTTTGGAGGACCATGATATTTGCAGGCTTATTTTGAGGGGTGGCAGGCACGGAGGATGCAACGAATGCCATCCCAAAAGGCCAGCAACTTGTGTTGCAAACATACAAACAAACAAAAATCAGTGGGGCACCTTGACTCATAAGCATTTAAAAATGCACTCAGAGGTAAAGGAGGGAGGGAAGAACAGCTTCAAAAAAATAAAACAATCAATCCAAAAAGAGGTACTTTGAGTCAACACTCCAAAATATCAGATTCCATTCAGATGGAAGCAAATTCTCCAAAGGCAGCTATCAGAGACAAACAAACAAACAGTGACATAATATGCATAATATGTATATGTGTTGTGCTGCTGTAAAGGTGTTTTCCTTTTGAGCATTTGGTTGTTGGGCATTTGTGGCACATGTGCCTCTGAGAAAGCATGTGCCTGCAGTCAGTTGTACTCTTTCTGCATTGGGATCTGGATCCTTCATGAGTCCTTTTAAATGCCATCCCCATTCCCTCCAGGAATTGGCATGTTACTCAAACTACCAGAGCAATCCTCACACCTTTTGTGCTATTAATAGGTCAATCAGGAATAACAAAAGATAAACACTTCCAGAAAGGAATATGTTAGGGTATATGACTGAGTTTTACAATGTGGTTAGATTATATGACTAAAGTAATTATAATATTAAGAAGTTTGGCGTAAAAGTAAGAGGAGTCTGAGGAATTGTGACAAGTAGAAAGTCAGGATTTTAACTTTCCTGTGGTCATTGGGTGGGGGGGAAGCAAAGGATTTTCTAGCTTTTCTAGCTCGGACCCGAGGCAACTGGGCGGAGAAACAAACGCTCCCCCCCCCCCCCGAGAAAACTCCACACGGAACACTTTCTCCCTCCTCTCTCTCTCTTTCTCCCTTCCCTTCCTCTGATTGCCTGGCAGTGAACTGTCACCTGAGCCCAAAAGCCCAGGGTGAACACTGTTTCTTCCATAAGCCTGTGAGGAAGGGCCTGGGACTAAAGATGCTGGGTCCCATTGGCCCATACGAACAGCTAGAGTCCTAACAGCGGAGGCAAGATGGCAGAGGTTAATGGCTGGGGGCAAAAACCTGGGGGCGAAAAAGGGGCAGCAAAGGGTAGGAGGAGAACAGTCCTATTCTGACTGCAGAATGATTGTAAATTGCTTTCAAACCCTTTTGGAGCAAACTGAAAAATGAAAACAGTGGTCAACTGGAGATGCCTGCTAAGATTTTAGTATTCAACATTATTTTTCTTACTTATCAAACATCTTCAAAGAATCTCGTAAAATTCTTGAGTGACTAACAGATATAAATGTTTTAGGTTAAGAACTGTCAGGTTCATGTGGATAATGTAGATTGTACACATGCTGGTCTATGACCAAATAAAGAAGTGTGTGTGTGTGTAGATTGTACTAACAACAACACAAACCAATGATTTCAGTGTTAAATACGATTGAACTTAATTGGCCACTCTCACAAACATGCTCATAGGAAACCTAAAATATGGACACGCTATCCATCTTATTGGGTCAACATTTATATCCACTGTGTTTTATTCAATGTTCAACTAGTTGATATTTTTAAATTAACTGATGAACAAGTATTATGTAATATGGGTACATCATGAATACTTTTGAAGTTAACAGGAACTTGACAGAACACTTATTTGATCAAAATCAAAGATATAATGGGCACCCAAGATGAAAAATTAATAGTTCCAGGATTAAATGACATTAAATTTAAAACAAACTATAGTCTTTTAGTTTTCAACAAATCTTCAGAATGTTTCAGTTAATTAACTATTACCGTATTTTTGGGAGTATAAGACGCACCCCCCCCAAAAAAGAACATGGAAATGTTGGTGTGTCTTATACACTGAATACAGCCATTTTCGACCTCCCAAAGCCCTGCCCCCGCATCCCATTTTTGTTGGAAATGTGTGAAAAATGAGCCGTTTATTGCAAAAACTGAGGCTTTTTGCCTTCCCTCAGCCCCTAGCAGCACTCTGCAGGCTTCAGCGGGGCTGGGACAAGGCAAAAATGTCTCTGTTTTTGTAAAAAACGGGCTGTTTTTCACAAAAATGGAGGCTTTTTTGCCTTACCCAGGTCCTGCTGAAGCCTGCAGAGTGTTGAGGGAAAGCAAAAAACCCTCAATTTTTGTGAAAAATGGCCCATTTTTCGCCATAACAGGGATATTTTTGCCTTGTCCCAGCCCTGCTGGGAGTATGCAGAG